ACCCGTTTAGAAACTGGTATTAAAATATCCGCTACCCATTATCCACGGATAATAAATATTTGCAGATAGTATCTATCCGTCGTCGCGGGCACGAATTTTTTTGTCATTCCTAGATGAGATAGATTTCCCATGCACCTTTTTGTTAGAAGCAAAAATCAGAAGTTTTTGCTTAAATGTTTATCTGGGCATTCTCAACAGAAAAACCAAAATACTCCTTTAAAATGTTCAAGATTAGTGTGTTAAGTTGAAATAATTATCTCTCTCTCTCAGTGTATATATATATATAATTAATACATTAATGAAAGTTAGTAGAGAGAGTATAAAGAGTTGGAAATAATTAAAAACCTAAAAGTAAAATGGTTAAATAGGAAAAAAAGTAGTTAGTGATAGAGATGGAAAGGTTTATGGAATAAGAAAAATAATTAAAGACGGGAATATAAATAGTAGTTTAAAGTATCAAAAATAGAAATAATTAGTAGAGTATAAATAATTAATATGATTTTATGGTAGAAATGCACAGTTAGTTACAAAAATGAAAATTAATAGCATAAATGTATATAAGTAATGACAAATATCTTGATACTAGAAGTGTGTAAAAACAAGGATAAATTGTTAACTGAATAACATAAAAATTCAATCCATTTTCTTCAAACTAATCATTTATAAAAAGGTAACAAGTCTCACAATAAAGGGTTACTTTTCTACGAGGGTAGGAAGATTCCGAGTCCAATATAATATGAAAATTCAAGCTCACAAGTGAATAAACATTCACCATCCGAAGTTTAATTTGCAAAATAGTAATTTAAAACTCATTTCCTATTGTCTCCATGTAATTTCGTTTTAAATTTTTGTGGGAGTAAATTCGAAATGTACTGCACAAGTAAGCCTCAGTTGGTTTTATTCACATGACCAAATTGATTTTATGTAAAAATCCTTTTGAATTTGACACACATGAGAGAACACATTATCATCATCCATAGGATGAAGAAAATTTACACAAATGAAATCAATTTAATAGAACACTCTAAGAATATGAATCCAATTATAGATTTTCATGTATGTTAAGGTTATTTACTTTCATCATAATTATTTTGAAAATCATATTTTGGATAATTTTTAATTAATCTAAAAATCTTTAAACGAAAGTTTAACTCAGATGAAATTTCATGACAGCTACCAAGATGAAAGGTCTCACCATTATCAACTGAGTAATTGGATAAAAATCCTGCAGGGAAACTCTTTTGCTTAAAGAGATTGGAGCAATTGGTGGAAGCAACCATTTTTTTTGTGGAATTCTGTGAAGCCATGGAATTCACTGCACTGAATGAGCCATCAAAATCATTGCGTGCTGCCCTTAGAGAACCTTTTGGCATAGGAAGGCGTTGAACTTGCTATCTGAGGTGAATGTGATGGTTGTGAAACAGAGTCCCAGGCTTCTTCTTCAATGGCTTCCCTCCAAACTCTTGCAAAGGCTCAGAATCATTGGAAGAAATAAACTTGTCTCCATTTCAGAACTTGTGGTGGAAGGATAATAACTTGGTGGTGGAACGGAGAAATTCATGGGGGAATGGAAGGGATTAATCATGGGGGACTGGGCTTGATGGATTTTATGGTTACTTTTGAAAGTCACAAACCATTGACCAACAAACGATGTTTGTTTGCTGTTATTATTCGCAAGGGCTTGTGAACCAATGAGGGCTTGGGGAAGGGAAGAGAGAAGAAAAAGAAAATATGGAGGAAAAAAGAAAAGAGGAGGAAAAAAATGGTGGTTGGGGGTGGGCGGGGGGGTGTGAATAACGGAAAAGACAGGGGAAAAAAAAGGACGGATGGAAGGAGGGAAGGAAAGATACAGGGGGAGGTGATATGAAAGAGTAAAAAAGGGCAGTTGGAAAGGGGAACGGAAAAGGGAAAAACAAGGATACGTTGGAAAACAACAAAATAACAAAATAAGTCAGAGGGAGAAGAGTAAAAAAGGAAAGGAAAAGAAAAAAAAAGTAAAAAATAAAGATAAAAAGTGGGGGGGGGGGGGGGGACGGAAGGGGAAGGTGGAGGAAAAACTTACCGCTTTCTTTGTTTGCCTCCCTTAAGGCTTAAGGTATTAGTCACCTGCGAACCTAATTGTCATTATCTTAATTTACTAAGCCACAATAGCTTGGCTTGTTACCAGTTGGTGTGGCTTCATTAGAATTTAAAATGAACCAAAGAGAAAGAACATAATAAGGTTTCCTTTGTTTAAATAGTTTATTTTCTTTCATGGGAGAAATTTGTTAACATGGTTGTGAAAGTACTTCGGTCCCCGAGATGGCCACGAAAAGTTTGAGGGACCAAAATTCGAAAAGGGAAAATGGAAAGAAATGCGGTTCACAAAAAGAGTTTTAATTAATTAAAAGCGGGAAGTTTCAGAAAAAAAAAAAAAAGTGAAACATTTTCTCCTTACAGATGTTGTTGTTAGAAATAATTATTATTCTTGTGTTTGTTCTGCCACTATCCTAACAGACCTTCCTCGGGTTTTTCATTTAGTTTCATGAAGTTTTCGCTATCTGTCCTACGTTTTTACGTGTTAGTACAGCTCTTGGTTGAGGTTAGTATCATCAGCAAAACTTTTTTGAGAATTCTGCTCCTACCAATAACAGGGGTAGGTTTTGGACCAGAAATCTTAAAAAAAAAAAAGGTAAAAGGAGAGAAATTAGGTATTAGTAAATTGAAAACACAAAATTAAAGGAATAAAGGGATTTCAATTACATGCAAATATATATAAAATAATTTTGGTTTTGTTTAAAAGTTCAAAACTTGGTTAAAACTCATCACACTTTGATATTCTATTGCAGCAAAATGCAACAATTGAGCCCATCAAGAAGTCACCAAATGGTAAACATTTTATGATTATCATTTTTAGCTGAAGGACCATAATTCAGCCACGTGTGTTTTGGTTTGATTAAAAATACTATGCTTCTTTTTGTATCTCAAAAGATCTTATCAGATCTCAATCTCGACCTCTCAGATCTTAGTTGTATTCCTAATCACTATCCTTAGAAAAATAATAATTTCAGCTAAACACAAGCAGAGTGAGACTATGGCAAAATAAAAGAAAAGTTTACGTAACATTTGGAAATGAACTCGAGGTGGTGGAAAAATGTTGACCTTTTCTTGAACCAGCATCGTTTTCTGTTAACCCCAAATAAATCTGTGCCTTGGACAAAACTTGTGATCCATGAGGTCAGAGTTCGTTTTCCACAAACCGATTCCAAAACAGGCCGAGACTTTTCTTACCTGAGCCCCCCAACTCATCCCATCTGTAGGTCTATACCCTCATCACCAATTACACAAAACGAATTTAGGACTTCACCCATCTTCGAATGCATTATATTAAATATTTTTACCAAATAATCTTCGACCAAGAGATGAGCCTCTTCACTGATGCTGAAAATGATGTGGAATCTGTTATTTATTCTCTAATTTAAATAATCTCTGCTCTCTGTAAACTTGTTTGAATGACAAAGTTTTATAGCTTCCATGACAATCACCACAAACACGAAGGTTTTTAACAACACGAATCACATCTTTGACACTGGTACTGATCAGTGCAAATGCAACTGCTAACTTCTCACTATGACAGCCAAGGAAGTATTCCTTCTCCTCCTCTTCTACATCAAAGAGCACAAACTCAGTGTTGGAGTATAGCCAGCTTCTCTCAAGTCCTTAAATAAACTTTCAAGTTTTTCATATATCATGTGTGTTAAAGGATGGGAAGTGTCCCCTACACGGAATTCGTGAACAACCCAATCAACTCCAACCCAGCTACACCCAGGTAATTTTTGCATCCCTTTCTCACTCAAACTTGACCTGATTTTTTCTGCTTCATCCCATCGACGGCTCGCTGAATATATATTCGATAAGAGAACATAATGTCCTGAATTCCACGGTTCTAACTCAATGAGTTGCATCAACACTTGTTCAGCCAATTGGGTATCCTTGTGTAACCTACATCCTCCCAACAGTGCTCCCCAAACAATAGCATTAGCCTTCATTGGCATACTCTTGATCAGATCCCGTGCCTCAGACAACAAAAATGCACGAGCCAAAAGATCCACCATGCATCCATAATGCTCTATAGTAGGAGTCACATAAAAAACACAACTCATGTGACTAAAATATCGCCGACCATCATCAACCAAACCAGCATAAGTACACCCACAAAGCAAACCAACAAAAGTGTTCCCATCAGGCAGCATTCCAACCTTTCCCATTTGGCTAAACACCCCAAAGGCAGCCCCAGCCTTTTCCCCGCTACTTTTTTAGTTCTTCTACTCTCAATTTTTCCGTTACCCATTTTTCTTTAAGTTGGGATGCATTGTAAGATGAATGAGTTTACATGAACTTTAGTGCAATAAGAAAAAGAGGGAATAGGAATATTTAGAAAGTGGAATTCTGCCTCATGGAGAATTCGAATTTTGCATAAGGATACCTACGATGAAAAAAATTGAGGAAAGGAGTGCGTAACATGCACACTTGTATTTTGTGTTGGAATATAATGAATATTCTCTTATCCTTGGTATTTTTCCTTCGTGTACAGTGATGATATTTCTAAAAGAGCTGAGAGTGTTGTCATTTGCTGAGTTAATATCTTGTAAAAATCTAAATCGAGACAACATTCATTTTGTAGTGTCTGTACTCACTAGGAGAATTTTGCTTACATTTCCAATAGTGTTTTTAGCTTTAAGGTTATTACAATTTTTATGCTCAGCATTTCATATTTTGTACCAGTAAAAAATTATGTTACAACTCATACTGCGTGCGTAAGAGGTGTTAGTATTCTATAATGAAACTGTTACTTTTGGAATCCCATTCCCTCCTGCGTGAATCCTTTCCCATAACCAGAAAATTTTCTACACTTTTTTTTTTCTTTTGTTTAGTTAAATCTGCTGTACAAAGTGTTGATAATAGTAAGTGTTCAATGCATTTGCAATCTCAAACTACTTTTCAGATCTGCCCGCAATGTAACATTACTCTGTTTGCAGTCAAAAACCAGAAAGACTCTGGCATAGAGCATAGTTTCATTTACCCAACATATTAATATTACTATTTTTCTTTCATTTGGCGTCTGTCTTGAAAATTGAGGGAAAATGCTAATGGTGAATTAGAAATTGAGTTGTAGAAAGGAAACAAAAGTAGTAGCCCGGAAGGGATTAGAATGTACAACACTATTCTTTTCCATTATCTTCCAAGAAAGAGCAGAGTGAGCTATGCATATACATCTATCTGTGCATGCTTCGCTAATTAAAGTAAGATTTTCTAAAGTTTCTGATCAGCCACCACAGTAGAGTCTCACTCTAGAGGACAAAATTGGAAATCTCCGCAAGTGTCTGCACACTTAACACCCGAATGTGTCTACCCTCGTGATCTTCAATCTCTTTACTGTGGATAAGAACATCCTACACCATCGAAACAACAAGCACATCAATACACAGAATGGAACACATAATGATGCATTTGTTTCTCAGAGACAAAAAGGAATCTATCAACTTACTCCCAAGGAACATCTCCAACCATGACCAAATCCCCTTCTTCATCTTCGTATGTTAGTACATGGCATCTCTCGGGTTGCACTCCATTCATCTCTGTCCCCCCTGTTAACACACGACAATATTTCACTGTTATTTCATACACTCTTTTCAACACATTCTTATAATCTATAAGTTAAAGAGGAACATTCATAATTTCATAATCTATAACAAATTATGAACTAAAAGTAAAAGAAATTGAATAGATTAAGGGCAGCAGACTCACAAAGAATGGTAGTGTCGAACATGTGTTCAAGACTCTTCACTAACTCATAATAGCTTCCATGAGCAAGTATATTGAGTTTCCTTCCTATTGGAATGCCTTCCATGTAGACCTTCACAAAGAAGCTGCTATGGTCGTTGCAATCATTAGCTTCAGCCGCTTGCGAAATGTTCACAAGAGGGTGCTGTGGTTGTTGCCAATGCCCCCTACATCATCAAATCAACACACGAAATAATTAGTCTTCAACTAATGAAAGTTTCAGGATTTCAGCATACATAAATAGTACCATAACACAAACCTTGAAATAGAAGAACCACCATGGTGAGCGGCGGAAATGCTGAGTCCAAGACTAAGATCAGTGGGAAGCTCTTGTGTGAGAGAGGATGCAGTGGAAATGAGAAGGTGGTGGTGGTTGCTGCTACTGCTGATGGAAGAGGAAGAAGAATTAGAGTGTTTTCCCATTGTGGTATAAAGGAAGTAGCAAGACTATGATGATGATGACATACCAAGCCGCCACCTTAACGGCTTAAATAAACGAAGAAGAAAGAGAGGATGGTCCTATTCGTAGAATCAAGACTTCCTCTGCAGCAGAGCCACTTCCCACCCCACTTTTTCTTTTTTCCATGTAATTGCTTGCTAGACCTCAAATGTTGTCATGGTAGCCGACAGCTACACGTGTCAATAACAAAACTCCAACTTGGCATCTTCCATTGACGTGTGTTTATTCCCTTCAATTTTTCACTATATATTTAGCTTCAACCCTCTACAGTCATAACCTCAATTAGTAGTAGAAACTTTAACAGACATTGGAGTTCTTAAGAATTTAAAAATATTAATGAGAAGGTTAAAAATGAATTTAATGATTGATTAGTAGTGATTTAAATTAAAATTGTGAAAGGGAGGGAAGGATATGGTAATGGTGAGTGTTATGTTAGAGGGAGTGAATTGATGGGGGTGGACAAGAGAACATCGATATCTGAAACCTTGTACATACATGTAATATCCGGTAATCAATGTTCAATGGATATAATCATCGTGTTGCGCATGAGTGACCTTGATTGGAGAGACAAAATATATAAAGGCATTGGAAGTGGTGATGCTACATAAACTGCTGTGTGTTCAGAAACATATTGATGTAGGTTCCTTGAAAGGTTCTGTGAACAGCAGAAAAACCATCAACAACACCACAACATACTTATGAAGAGAAGTTGTGCGCATTTATTACCCCTAACTTACTACCAGACAACCTTCCTCTCTTTTCCTTTTCAACCATTCAACTACACAACAAACAACCTTATTGCTACTATCATTTTCTTTCATGCAAAAAAGTTTTATCATCTTTCTAAATAATTCAAAATATTTACCCTTTCTCTGTCTTCAAAACCTAGACTATGTATTATTTCTGAGACAACAGTTATTTACACCAATATTATAATAATTAACTTCCCCCTATATATGTTAGATCTCTTTTTTTAAATTTACATGTCTATTTTCACAACTCTTTTTAAATTATTCATTCTACTAACTATTTCATATTATAATATGTTGATTTACTTCACAATATTTTATAGCCAGTAAACAATATACAAGATAAAATTAAAGAGGTAAATTCTTTATGAAAATTGAAATTTTTTTTGGCATAATTATTTAATTGGATATAAACCAATAATTATATAAGAATGATATGATGGGTACTAGTAATTTAACCATAATATTGAAAGAGTAATACAAAATACTATTTCCGTTTTAGTTTTAAAAATATTTAAATTGAATAATGCTTTCAGCTTGTAATAAAATACTGTTTATTTTATTCTTAATTTGGTTTCAAATAAATTTTAACTTGCAGTAGATATATATATAACATATTTATTAAAATGGTAAACTTTTTTTAGTGCAATTATTTCAACAAATAATAAATTCTGATGTTATTAGCTAAATTAACTAGTTTATATTATAATTTATAAAATATACAAAATAGGCATAACATTTATGTAGACCTTTTGAATTTGAAAGTATGTATTAATCAATGCAAACATAAATATCAAATAAAAATATGTTAAAAATAATCTTAATTTATAAAAATACTAATATAATTTTTTTAATCTTTTCCTGAATAAGCTTATAAAGAAAGTTATAAATATACTTGCTTTTCTTCTCTCATTCTTTTATATCTAATAAAATTTATTAAGGTCATCATTGAATGATTATTTGATCAGTTTCTTATTTTATTTTCTTAACTAACACAAGACATATATAAAATAGCAAAGTAGTTTTTTTTGCCTCTGAAAGTTTTCAAAAGTAACATGTAAAAAACAATTGCTTTTATTTTCAAATTTATGTTCTAATATTATGTCAGTCTAGNAAATACTGTTTATTTTATTCTTAATTTGGTTTCAAATAAATTTTAACTTGCAGTAGATATATATATAACATATTTATTAAAATGGTAAACTTTTTTTAGTGCAATTATTTCAACAAATAATAAATTCTGATGTTATTAGCTAAATTAACTAGTTTATATTATAATTTATAAAATATACAAAATAGGCATAACATTTATGTAGACCTTTTGAATTTGAAAGTATGTATTAATCAATGCAAACATAAATATCAAATAAAAATATGTTAAAAATAATCTTAATTTATAAAAATACTAATATAATTTTTTTAATCTTTTCCTGAATAAGCTTATAAAGAAACTCATCGAAGAAAGTTATAAATATACTTGCTTTTCTTCTCTCATTCTTTTATATCTAATAAAATTTATTAAGGTCATCATCGAATGATTATTTGATCAGTTTCTTATTTTATTTTCTTAACTAACACAAGACATATATAAAATAGCAAAGTAGTTTTTTTTGCCTCTGAAAGTTTTCAAAAGTAACATGTAAAAAACAATTGTTTTTATTTTCAAATTTATGTTCTAATATTATGTCAGTCTAAATGAATTAAACTGGAGCTATTAAGAAACACTTTTAACTTGAATATTGCCTGTAAAAAATGTAATCTAGCCATGGTTATGAACTCTTAAAATTGGTGTTCCAAACAAGGTTTATTATATTCAGCAAATTGAATTATCACCTGAACTATTTATACTCCTAATTATTAGATCTTTGTTGACAGTTTATGACATTGAGCATGACCCTGAAATTACAATTTTTCTTTGTTGATATTTATTGTGTTTTTAAAACAAATTGTATCAGTGGTAAGAGTATGAAACGGTAGACATGACTATAAATTGAAGGAAGGAAGCAATGAAGAAGAGAGGGAGCACAGTGACATTGGGAAAAAAGATGTTATCAATGAGAGGGAGCAAACCATAACAAAAAAGAATCAGAATGGTGGAACATTGTGACAAGTGTGAATCTCCTAATCACTTTTTAAAACGCTCAAATCATAATGCACTCCGGTATCGGGGACACAAAATCAACCTTATTTTTCTTTTGTTTAACCAAACCACCTACTGTTTCATATTATTCTTAGTTTCACCTCCATTCAACACCTCGCTCCCACGTGTCCAATGTAGTTTTTCTTTTCCCTTTCACATGTTGTTGGTTCATAGTTTTTAATGTTTCTTGACAAAGATAAAGAGGGAACAGCAATTAAGAACCAAAAGTTAAAGAGGGAACAACAGCTTGTATGCTTCTATCTAAAGAAACGGCCAATGCTAGCTAATAAATATTCAAACAGAAAACCAGAAAAACCTATTATTCAGAATCTCTTTAACACATTTATTAAAATGAAAAGAATAGGTTTAACACAAGTAAAAAGAATGAGGAGGAAAAGGTCAAATGTTCCCCGCCACCCCAACCGTAACTCTTAAGGTTGCTTTCATTAGCCATCAATCTGTCATTTGGTCTCCAACACTGTATTTGTGTTCAACCTTAGAAAAAAAAAAGCAGAGTGTAACCTACATTCCCCTTTTGTTCAATAGAGTTAGTAAATGTCTCACTAACACATTGGCAACATCTTTTTGTATTTTACCACTGTTTTTCTTTTTAATTTCTTTAGATGTCTCTCTCTTTTTTTAAATCACCCTTTAATCTATACAGATTGAGTTCTATTTTGTGATAATTCTGTAGAAAATTAAAAAAAGAATCTGTGCACATTTAAATTTATAATTTTTTTTCTTATTTTTTAAGTTTTTTATAGAAAAGTTATAAACAAACTCTACAAATATTTGAAAATGTAATATGTATAAAGAAATGTGAAACTTAAAGGGGTAATGTTCTCGTACCAATCAATAAAAATACTGTAATATGTATAAAAATAAATTGATACGTTATAATTTAACCAATAACCAACTAGTAAAAAAACTCGATCATTTTAACTAGAAGATATTGTTAGACTAAAACCATTCAAGTTCTTATTCTCACTTACTTTTTACTGCACAAATTATATGCATTAGTTACAAAGTAATAATTACAACAATGTGATTGGCCTTAGATCATATTTTTTGTAAATTTTATTCACTTCTTGTCAGGTCATATGTTTGACAATTTTTAATTCTTTCAATTTGATTGAAATAATTTGTGGAAAAAAGATTCCAAAATTCAATGATTTTAAACTCTTAAGCTTTTTTTTTTTATGTTTATAATGATTTAATATAGTATTGGGTTTGAGTCATCTTATATGTTATTTTTCATTTTCTTTATATAGTAAAAAGTTTAATAATTGGTACTTTGCAATAAGAATTCACATGTCCCACCTTTCTGTCTTTCATTCTGAAGGAAGTGTACTAAGAAATGAAAATTAAATTATGCAATCATAGAAAAAAAACGGTATATCTGTCCATATTCTAATGTTGATTTATGATTAGTGATTTTACTTCTTCTAATGAATGAAAAGATTGTTTTTTCAAAACTTTTATATGTTATAGGAGATTAACAGTTTCATGCTTAGATAAAACCCTATAAAAGTAAATTAACTAAAAATAGGATATATAATTGGGTTAAATATTTTTTAATTTCTAAAAGATTTTTATTTTTTATTCTTAATAAATTTGTGAATCGTTTTGTTTCTTAAGTTTTTTCATTTGACTTCAAACTAATATGTGAAACTTTATTTTAGAAAATATATAAAAGAAAATTTTAAACAAATTTAAGGACCAATTAAAAGGTAAAAAATTGAGAGACATCAGAAAACAAAATATACTTTCAGGGACAAACATTTTATTTGATGAAAAAAAAGTTAAATACATATTAGAAACCAATATCATATTCAAGTTTACATTTTTTTATATTTTGTTAAAATATCAATTGTATTAGTTTTGTAGCTTGTCACTAAACTACATAATTTCGACGAAATCATCATTCTATTTTTTAATCCTTCATTTCACTACTAAAAAAATAGATCAATTTGGTCATATGATTTATGTTTAACTACAAATAAATCAAACATTAAAAAACACATCACATTTTTTTTAAAACAAGAAAAACTTTATTATGTCTTATTTTTAGTCATACTTATAAAGTTTGCTTGTTTATGATTACAACATTTACGTCAAATTACAAATGAATCAACATAAATTTATGTAAAATCATAAATGATCTATCATATATGAATTTTTAAAATGATAATGTGTAATTTTTTCTGACCACT